CCCCAAAACCCCAAAACCCCAAAACCCCAAAACCCCACTCGCAAAGATGATTGAAGTATCGATACAAATATTAATCAAATGAAGGTTGATTTGCAATTAGCTCAGAATAGATCATATTAAGTAATTTCTCACAATTTCGTTTGATTTTATAATCATATTATTTCAAACTGATACAGGATTAAGTATTGGAGCAATAAAGTTTAGAGCGAAATCTGTAAGGTCCTTGTTAATTAGATTAGTTGGGAAGCAGTTAGTTTCAGTTCCATCACCAGTCAAATACTTAATTTTATCAGCATTAATCAAATCCCATTCTTTAAGAGTCAACTGCTCTGCATCTGAGAATGAGCATGTATCGAAAAAGTTCATAAAGTCAACTGTCTTGTACTGATCCCAGTTGAATAGAGTGTAGATGATGGCTCTATAGCAATCATAGAATTTCATTGCTGTCTGAGCTGTAACTAAGATTGCTTCAATTTCATAGCCAGTGTTCAAGCAAATGCTTCCAGATTACCAAAAAGCAATCTCACCGAAAACGTTCGCTCTGAAGGAGTCAACTGTTAGTGTCAACTCATTGTAGTATGTCTTTTTGACAGTTAGTTGAGTTTGAATATTAGCCTGCGATTCAACATTTGGTCTAAATCTAATGATCCATGGATTACCAGTAGAGTAAGATTGATAGAATTGCCATCCTGCTTTAATCATAGGGCTTGTCATTGTTAAACATAAACTGCTGTCTAATAAAGTAAGGCAACCGCAATCATCACTGACTTTTGGACTCATTAAACGTCTAGTGTTCTTAAGGGCAACATCCTTTTTAGGAACTCTGACTTCTTGGAGTCTTTTTCTGGCATCTACTCCAATTAAGGAGCTAGATAGCACAGCCATTGCAACAGCTAATAATAGTGTATTTGATTTTTTATACATCTTTATTCTTAAAATATTTATTATTCAAATATGAATTTATTTATCAATATGGTAATGTGGGGTTTTGGGGTTTTGGGGTTTTGGGGTTTTGGGG